ATCTATTACTTTTTATACATAAAAAGGTAAGTACTGAGGATAAACAAAAATATCAACAAACCGTTTAATATATTTGTTCCTATGTTATGAAACTGATTTTCAAAATGTAATCACTTATTCAGAACTAATATGGGTATATGAGACCACATATATTAATAAAGATTTGCTAAGTTTCATTGAGTTTTGTTTTAAATTAAATAAAAATAAGTCTTTCCAAAACCTCAAGCCCAACACAACAAAGATAAACTCCAAGAATCAATCATATATCAACACGTGTCAACTCCACAGACTTCAAACTCTATTGTCTATGTGTGTTGTGCTTGGCATTCCTTGCTATATAACAGACTCAAAACTCTTCTCCTATCTTAGCATTCTCCTCTCTCTCTCTGTCCATCTCCTCCTCATTCTTCATCTCCATTACACAATGCGTATTCTCAGTGGCATTCTCGTGGTTTACTTAATCTCCACTCTCCTCTTTGGTCAATTAATCTACGTGGCACGAGGAAGATTTCATTACCACAAGAGACGCGGTCTCTCGGATCCTCCTCCTCCTCCAGCTGTAACCGCTAAGCCACCTCAAGTCCCCTCCGACCCGTACCCAAACCCGAATCAAGATCCGGCTCCAGGAGATTCTGACTCGGGATGCATTTTTGACGTCACGTCGTTTGGGGCAGTGGGTGATGGCTCGTGCGATGATACCGCAGCCTTTAGAGCTGCGTGGAAAGCCGCGTGTGCTGCTGAATCCAGTGTCGTTTTAGCTCCTGAAGGCGGCGTTTTTAAAATCACTTCCACTATTTTCTCCGGTCCGTGTAAACCGGGACTCGTCTTTCAGGTGAGCAAACCAAAAACTTTTTTTTTTCTTCATGAAAGAAAAAATGTTTCACACTTATTATTGGAGACCCCATACCTCCAGTCCTCTGTATGTGAGAGCCGCCTCTTAACAAAGTCATCAAGAACATTCACAAAAATACATAAACTAATTTTGGAAAACAATTACAAGTATAATTATATATGATAACCATTTTCTACTTATATTTGATTAGCATGTATTTTTTTTTCATTAAATCGTTTTTCTGGTTGTGTTGTGAAGTTGGATGGAGTGTTGATGCCTCCGGATGGACCGGAGGAGTGGCCAGAGAAGGACAGTAAAAGTCAATGGTTAGTTTTTTACCGCCTAGACGGCTTCACGTTTGCGGGCAAAGGCACCGTCGAAGGCAACGGTCAAAAGTGGTGGGACTTACCTTGCAAGCCTCATCGGGTAATTCTTTGTACTTTCTTACTACTTCATTTAAGTTTTTTTACCGGATCACAATTACTTTAGCAAACTATATTAAAAATGTATCTGATTATTCTTCTTCCATTTTGAAAATATAATGTTTAAAAAATAATTTTATTTAGTTACTATTGATCTAAATTTATTAAAAATGATATAATTATAAGTTATACCTAACTTCTATTCTGTTTTCTAAATATGTATATAAAACTTAAAAAATATTTTATTGGAAATATATAAATATTAAATTCATAATTCATGACCGTGAGCCCGTGACAAAATAGAACATGCGACAAATAAACCGTACTATTATTCCGGTCTGATTTTACATATATAGATAAAACAAGAAATAAATTAAAAGATTTTATGTGTCTTATCGTTTTCAGGGACCAGACGGCTCATCGTCGTCCGAACCATGTGTTAGTCCAACTGTAAGTCGAATTAAATCCGAACCAAAACACTAAATCTAAACTCGGTTTACTTTGGTTCATTGATCACCTTTATTTTTGGTTTTGTAGATGATTAGGTTCTTCATGAGCAATAACATAGAGGTTAGAGGATTGAGAATACAAAACAGCCCGCAGTTTCACATGAAATTCGACGGATGTGAAGGAGTTGCAATCAACGATATCCAAATCTCATCTCCTAAACTCAGTCCTAACACCGATGGTATCCATCTCGGGAACACCAGATCAGTGGCCATTTACAATTCTGTCGTTAGCAACGGTAAGATTTTCTATATATTTATATCTCGAGTCGAATATTATTGAACGTGACAAGAGATCCTAAAGTAGTACTAGTCATACCTGATAATCAATATGTAGTATTGAAAACGTATTTTATATTAATCGGGAATGAAACATTTGAAACAGGGGACGACTGCATTTCTATTGGAACTGGTTGTTCAGACATTGACATTCAAGGTGTCACTTGTGGGCCCAGTCACGGGATCAGGTTTCTGTTCTTTAATTCATATTTTTAAAGAAAATGTTTTAACGTTAACTGATTTTCTTTTTGTAACACTAACGTTAACTGATTTATTTTCTTAAATTTGCATTCAAAATTGATTCCACTACGAAGTCTATTTTATAATGAATCACGGATTATGAATGATCCACTGGAAATCAAATTTTATAACTAGTTGACAAGAAAAAAATTAACTATTTCGGAATTTGATTAAATATTTTCTATAGAAAATTATAACTTCTCATAAAATACCTTTGTCTTGATTTGGGTCGAATATATCAGAAGAATTTAGTGTTATGGGGGTAAGAAATTACGAGTATGAAACCAGATTTGAAGTTCCTTTAGCTGATCGTTCCTATTTATTCCGTATTTGTTTGTTTGCCAAAGCTGATTAACTTGAAGTAACTTGTAGAATTGGTTCTCACTCCTCGGTAAATTAGAAGCTGATCATCACTTGCAAACGCGAATAGGCACTAACCCCTAATTTGTTTTCGAAAACGCAGTATCGGGAGTTTAGGCGTGCACAATTCTCAAGCCTGCGTTTCCAACATAACCGTCCGAAACACCGTGATTCGAGATTCCGACAACGGGCTCCGAGTCAAAACATGGCAAGGGGGCACTGGATCCGTCTCCAACCTCCTGTTCGAGAACATCCAGATGGAGAATGTCCTAAACTGCATCATCGTCGATCAATACTACTGCCAATCCAAGGGTTGTCGCAACGAGACGTCGGCGGTTCGAGTCTTCGACGTCCAGTACCGTAACATTAAAGGGACTTACGACGTTAGGAGTGCGCCCATTCACTTCGCATGTAGCGACACCGTCGCTTGCACGAACATCACCATGTCTGAAGTCGAGCTTTTGCCGGAGGAAGGAGAGCTTGTCGATGACCCGTTTTGTTGGAACGCTTATGGAACGCAAGAGACGTTGACGATTCCGCCCATTGATTGTTTGCTTGATGGATCTCCGGTGGTGGAGGAAGGGTATAATTCGAGTCCCGGTTGCTGATCCACCGGTAAAATTTGGATGGTTGTTAATGCGCCACGTGGATGGAGCTTCACTTTTAGTTGTATATGGGCCATCCCTTGTAGGGCCTTTTAGTGGAAGCCTTATATGTGCGATGAGATTTTTAGGTGGGCTTATTATTATATGTCCATTATATATGCTATCTATCTATACTCTTTTCGCGAGCAGTAATGAGACGTTCATACAGTAGTTTCGAATCGGTTAGTGGTTCAAAAAAAGTTCGGTTTTGGTTTGGGTTTGTCACTAATTTTTTTTGTCACTAATTTAATTTGCTAAAATCAATACTATTAAAAAAGAATAAGTTTTAAAAATCTATTTATATAAGTTGTTTGGACATTTTCATTAGACTTAACTTTTTTTGTCTTACCTTTATTTTCTCTAACTATGCAACATTATTCTTAATTTTATTGTTAATTTTATTATTAATTTTTTAATAATTATAACAATAAAATCTACCATATTAATACTCTTCCGGTATGCTATCTTACCAAATAAATACAAAAACATTAACCGGTTTAGTATTTATTCACTTCTAATTTTGAATTAAATCACGTACAACAAATACTTATTCTAAACATGGACTAAATAAACATACTAAAAAGGTAATAAGAGTTTTATACAAATTAATAACGTTTTTATCTTTTTCTGCAATTCAAAATCATTCAGAAGTAAAAAGGTATAGAATCTATAGATTAACAAACATAATAACATCGAATTATTATTTTAAAAATCTATGTATCAATATTCAAAATAAATCAACCGAATACAAACTAAAAATCCTATACCCTAAATCAAATATCATATCATATTTGAATATCATTAATTTTAATACCAAATTAAACTTTAGGCAAAAATTAATTAATATAAATAAATAATTAAATAAAAATATTAGAAAATAAACTTTTAAATCTAAAATAAATAAATAAAGTTAGAATAAGTTATTAATAACAGAAGACAAAAAAAAGTTATTAATGGCATAAATAAACTATTTTTTTCATTACAGTAATTTCTTTTTCTGTCAATGTTATTTGAATGACATAATAAAATTTCACTCAAAAACTAAGAAATCACAAAATTATCCAATTTTATGTAATTTTAAGTATATGAAAAATTATCAAAAAATTAGTATCATTTTTAAAGTTTTTATGGGACCAGTTGGTAACAGATTTTGGATTGTTATCTGATTTTCATTAATTACGATTTCGATTATATTTTGGATCGTCGAGTCTACCGGTTAGACAATAGATCTCGATCGTATATGAAAATGTTGTTGAAACTCAAAACTTATGATAAAACAGTTTTAAAATTATTTATTTAATAAAAAAATCAAGGAAATTTTGTAAAAAGGATAAACAAAAAATATTCGAATCGGGGTTCAAAATCTAGTAGTTTATTATTAAATCGCAAGCAATTAAAACTAACAATCATGTGTAGAAATATTCAAATAGTGGAAATTTAGTTTCACTTGAAATATAAAACAAAACTGAAATATTATGCAAAACTGAAATATTATGCAGATTGTTGCAGTATGACGTGATATGTAGTTAGGGGGGAATTGATCGCTTTCCCATAGATGAGTTAAAAAGATGGTCACACGTGAACTCATGAAAATATTATGAACTAGCAGTTAATATGATTGCGAGTGAATAAAGGTTCCCTGTAATTCGAAGATACTTAAGCGATTATAGAAGTTACCGATAATATGCAAAATGCCACGAGAAAGAAAAATATTTGACCAGAAAAAGAAATATTTAATATCCAATTTTTAAAACTCTTTTGAGTTGAAACAAAACGACCAACATACAAGGAAATGTAAAACTGGGAATTTCACAGTTAAGAAAACAGAAGAATACTCAAAACGCAATAATTCTCAGGTCAATCCAAAATAAGCAAAACGCAACCGCTAACCCCCCCAAACCAACGATACCCTTTTTCGCGTTTGACCTAACCGCGGTTTCTCAAGTCACCAGTGAAGACTCACACTCAGCTATACAAACAGGAGGCATCTCATACCACATTTGGCAGATATGATGCAGCAGGAGTATAATGCAGGAAATAACTTTTAGTCTTTAGGGGAGGATCAAATTTAAGGAAACAGATGAGAGAATAAACAAAACCAGGGGCTTACTTCTTCTGAAGTGAACTGGGGTCCAGAGGAATAGTACCAACTGTTACAATTGGAGGAGACCCGGTAACTTTGATGGGAAGTGATCCAACTTTGACAGTGTCACTGTCTTCAGAAAGAAGAGAATCAACCACTTCAGGAGGGTCTGTTTTCTTGTCAGAGACAGAGGGGGCTGGTTTAGACTTCGCTTGACTCTGGTTGAGGTGCGAACCAGTGGCTGGGTTGGAGTCTGTATCAGCTGGCTTAATGGTGAGGGTGCTGATCTTCTGAATGAAAGTAGTATCTTCTTTACTACCTTCCTTTACGGTGGTCTCCTCATTGTCATCTGACTTCGAAGGAACCTCCTTGGTTTCTGCAGAAGAGGTCACTGAAGGTATCTTGAAGGCATCCATAGAGTTTTTCTTGTTTCTGTCAGAGAAATCAAGTCTGGTTACTGGCACAGGGCTAAGGAAGCTTCTGTACGGCAGCCTGTTTCTCTCATCGTACATGACTCTCTGGCGGTTTTCGTAATACGCGAAATCATCTAGTAACGAAGTCCTTTCCGCATGGCTTTTGAATATCTTTAGCACCTCTAGACCTTGTTTCAGCATTATCTACACAAAAACACAATAGGTTAAACAAATTATTACAACTTTGAGAATCTTTCAAAGCAAGTGTTACCAAGAAAATCCACCTCTTGTGTGTCTCGACTGTTAGTGACCGGCTTATTCTCATTGTTGTGTAGTATGATATGCCTGAAATAGCTATTGGGAACATCTTTAATGATGTGCCATTTGACAGGAAAGCTTCCACTCCACTTGTCTTGCTGCCAAAAATCCATGTCTTTGTCAAAGGAAACTGGACCGGTCATCTCAGCCATGCCACAGAACAAACCACTGGCATTGACCTGAAAAGAGAAGTAACACATCAGAAAAAACGGAAAAGTGTAACACAAACAAGCTAGAATATGTAAGACAGAGAGAAAGACAACTCACAGAAAAGAATAAGAATATTGGGCATTCACAAGACTTCTCGTTGGCTATTCTCTGAGCGTCTTCATATGCACTCTGCAACTTCTTGTTCCCATGCAAAGTAGATGACCAGACACTGTATTTGATGCTCTTGTGAACATCATCTTCACTATAAGATTTAATCACAAAAAACTTGGCATTGGTGTAATCGATTTGGAGATCTGCCTTATTATACTGATTGGGATCGATAACAATATTTCCTTCAGCGTCAGCATTTCCAGCCTTTGTTGTATAGGCTTTAACGACTAGTTGATTTCTCGACCCTCTCGATCTTGAACCTCGATTTTGTTGACTGACAGCATCTGAACTTATATTTGCATGCACACCATATAGCTTGGGACGGGGATTGTTATTGTTTGTCGCAGTGGATGAAAAACCACTACGTTCAGTTGGAGCAATGTCTAGTTGTCCAGATGACGAGACTCTGCTACTGGAAACGACGTTATCGGGTTGAGAGCTAACAGAAGTAGCTGTTCCCTGCAAAAATGATTTACACAAATCGAGAGTCAAAATCAGAATGATTCATACTATAAAAGGGTGTGGTAATGTCATCAGTAACAAACCACTAATTTAACTGAAAGTTAGAATCATAATCTTTCCATTATATTCTTTTACTTTCATCAGGAACCTATTTTAAATATTGAAAATCGAAAACAAAGTAAAACCATTTCCTATACCTGGAGAGTAGGAAATCCCGTGGAATCGCTCTTCTCCGTTCCTAGTGGTCTGTTCTGTCCTCCAGGGTTAGGCCTTGGCTTCTCAGAGGATCTGTTAGATGCAGGGAGTTTTGGAGCACTCCTCTGGATTCCATCAGTTGCTGCCGAAGCATTTCTGCTCCTGGATCCTCTCCCGTCAGATCGACCCCTATTAGCTGCTGAACCAGTCTCCACCACAGAGTTCGTTGAGCTACTGGAGACGGTATCAGGTTGAACTGCATAGGGAACAAACGCAGGGGATGATGACGCGACATTCTGGTAAGGAGGAAGAGGGTAGAATTGTTGGGAAGTAACAAAAGGAGAATCAGCGCCAGGGATGTAAGGATTGAATGGATTGTAAGGAGACTGTGCATATCCATAACTAGGCGTATAGTATATATAGGGAGAATTTTCATTCTGCCCACCCTGGATTGTAAACACACACAAAAAAAAGAGTGAATAAGATCAAGACCAAACAATAAATGAAAAGTCTTTGATGTCCAAGAGGTTGGTACCTGGTACTGGAGTTGTTGTGAACCATCTACACCAAAAAACATCTGATGGTTTTCCCATTCTCCGGGTGACTCATAACCTGAAAAAAAAAATCAAGATTATAAGAGAACTCAAATAGTAAAATAATACCACAATGAATCCAAGTTATATACCTGTACAATAATAGGCATAATTGGGATCAACAGGGTAATACATGCCCTGGTCAGCAACAAAATCAGGGGTTCCCTCCGAGGTATACATTACTTTTTTTTTTTTTCAACTTATGAAATAGAATGTTGAATCAATGGAGTTTGGACAAAACACCTGTAATCAACACACAAAAAAAAAAGGTTTACACCTGTAAAGGAAATAACTTGAAACTAAATGAGCTCAGTGAACAAAATCAAAACTCAGACATTCTTTTGCAATACAATGTTCCCCGCAGAAACAAAAACTAATTAAAAAAAATCTGAAATTGAACCGACAAAAGAGCACTAAATCGAACGAAAAAGAGCTCCACAAAACAAAACAAAACGCAACGGAACGAACCTACAAATCTTCAAACAATACGCTAATCACGAGAACCGCTAATTAGTTGAAATAATTCGAAAGCACAGATACATATGAAAACAGCGTGGGGGGGAAATTAGGCCTATTACCAAAAATTAGGGAGAATAAGGACATGTTTAAGCCTACCAAGTTCTTCGACTGATTCAAAAGAGGGGAAGCGAATAAGGCTTAAGAAGAGAGGGGCCTTACGAGCACGAGTTGACAAAATAATAGAGACAAATCTCTGCAGAATCGGAACCCTAACCCTAGAATGAGCGGAGAGAGAGAGAGAGGGGGAAGAGAGATTCGATAAATTAAGAGAAAATGAGGAAAAAGAAAACCAGAAGACGCGCAAAGGCAGATTCCCCCAACCTTTGATGACGCTGAAACGCTGCGTTTTAAACCGGTGGATGAATCTACTACTACTTATTGACTTGTGTCTTAAAAGTCGATTATACCCTTTTTCGCTAACCTAAACCACGCAGCAAAACGGTTCCGTGTCTTTGTTTTTTTGATAGACAAACCTGGTCATGCTGCTGTTAGTACATTGTTAGTTCCCCCTGGATCACCACGTTTGGGTTTATTATATGATGGATTGAATTTCATGTAACTTTCTCATTAACTTTAGTTGAGGAAAAGATGAAGAATAATACGTCCACCTCAGAGTACACTTTAACTGAGATGAATAAATTCAAGAAAAATATCAGGTGTACACATATCACCATCCTACCGACTAATCAAACTCTCAAACATCTAAAATGAAGATGGATTTGAAAAGCTAAGCTATTATGGCCACTGTACATTGTCTTTGAGAAAACATTCAGATGAGATGTAGTTCCTCATCATCAGCAAAAGAAACTCAATGACATGTGAGACAAAAAAAAGTCATGGAAGGAGTACATCAAATATGATGAAGTCTTGCTCATGGCAAGAAGATGGTAATATAAGTAACAACCAGACTCAATAAAATCAAATCAAACAGAATCACCAAAAGTGAAAAACAGAGTAACATTAACACCGCCGTAAAAGTGTTTTGTAATAGCCTGGATAAGTTTAAAAGAGAGATTGGATTTACCAGCGGAACGAGACTTCAAGAGTCCATATCTCTTGGAACCGAGTGTGACTTATCAAGAGCAACCTTAGAATCAACAACCCCGTTGATGTTCTGCTGAGGATCTTCACTAGAATTAGAATCAGCAAGTTGTTTTTTTTTGTCAGATGACTTGCACTCACGTGCCCACAATCCAGACGTGCTGACCAATCATATACTGATTTGGCTCTTTTGTCAATAGAATGAAGAGCGTTATCACAAGGTGTTGGAATTGTTTGGTGAAGACCAAACTGTCTTAGTACCCGATCAGGACGATGCCACTCAACAACATCAAAAAAAATTAAAGGTTCACCATATGTTCTGCCCACTACGACATATAAGAGGAAGCTTTGCTAGAAGATCTTGAGTGTAAGGTTGCCATATGACCTACATCCACATTGTAAAAGAAAATCTCAAGTCGTTTACATCAACCACCGTATCAGAGATCTCTTGATAAATATATTATCAGGAGACTATACTAATATAAAGAAGCTTGCCTTATATCTATCATTACATTAAAGGTCAGTTTCATACCTACTCATCTTTCTGCTGGTCAAATCGGTCTCTGTAAAAATCCAGTCCTCCACGAGGATTCTCTTTATGACTCAGAGAAGCTCTCCACCTAGTTTTCAAGCAGTTCTTTAAGCGAAACAAAACTTGTAAGAACAAACTGAACACAATCTCAATTTACCTACAGCCTAATGGATCTGGTAAAGCACCATCTATGCCATCCATATAAGAAGCACCAACATCTTTAAATCTTCCTGGACGGCCAACATGTAGTCTTTCCCATGCCCATAACTGAAGCAGAACAAGAGGACCACAAATGGTGGAAACAGTCCTCTTACTTGCCCGACACAGCTCTCTGTAGAGAAGTGCTGGAGTAGCACTACCCCAGCTAAGTTTAGACACTTCATCAAAGTCCCTTAACAGAGGGAGAACCGTCAACGCCACATCATGTTTAGACTTATCCTCGTAAAGAAACCCACGCATCAAAGCCAATACAAAAGCCCTAGTGTGACACTTCAACGTCTCCTCGTCAGGATCAGCAGGTAGATTCCGGAAATTATCATGCAGCCATGCTAAGGACACATGAGAACCATGTAGATCTCCAGAACTTGGCCTGCGACTTAACAGGTCCTCACATAAATCAGTCTAGTTGTTTTTTTTGTACTACCAGTAACCACGAAGACCCAACAGTATATTCACGTCTTCTAAAGTCACAGTCATCTCTCCAGCGGGAAGATGGAAAGTATGCGTCTCAGGTCTTCATCTCTCAACCAGAGCTGTTATAAGAGCATAATAAAGCTGTATAAACGCAACCTTGTACACTCCATAGAGCCCAAACTCAATCAGTTTTCGACACACGAGAGGCTCCAGAAGCCAATCTCGCATTCCCAGTAATTTTATGCCGACATGTCCGTTCACTAGGAGGAACCTGAAAGTGGAAGCAAAGACTCAAGATTCATAAGCTGCTAAAGAAGAAATAAGAGAAATGAGTAAACCTTCAGGACACACACCTCATCTTCCCAATTTGCAGCTGGTCTATGCTCATGTTGCCACACCAATACAGAGTGATCAACAGGACCAGGATCCAAATCAAAGCTTATTAGACTTTGCATCTCCATCTACATATATGGCACATAACAGTAATACAGTGATCACTAGTATACAATATAACTGAACTATCTTTATGTACAATCCATATTATTTTGACAAATAAAAAGACGCTAGAAATGAATTTCAGCTACTTGAAAATTTGCACAAAAATATATCTTTATGAACAGTCTGATACAGGGAATATAATCATTAGAGCCATGTCATCAGGACACGTCAGATGAGAGAGAGCAGCTTGAAACAGAGTATTAAACAGAGTTTACGTTTCATTTCATTCATTCAGAAAAATAGTGTTGAAAACTTCATCTTCTTTCTTTTAGGATTCTTTCAAGAATCTCTCTGTAATTGAATTTGGTTCTAAGTTGGGAAAGGTTCTTCTTAAATCGTAACCTTTTGCACTTGAGCTACCGTTTACATGTTTGTTTGAACATCTATTCGGATTTATCGATCATCATACAGTTTCTCTGTATTAGTGGTATCAGAGCCGTCGCATCCTCGGAATCGATGGCAGTTCGCGACATTGACACCGAAGTCACACCGGAATTGAGTCTTCAGCAACTTCTTGAAAGGATTCGCCTCCGTTACGAACGTCCACGAGACGCCGAGCATCATAAACTCCAATCGGCGGCTGCGATAACTACGTTCAATCATCAAGAATCTGTTCCAGCATCTTTGGTTAGTAAAGCCCCGATCAGGAGGCGAACAAAGAAGATCCAACGGATAATATCGCATGAAGAGATTGACGATCGATGGTTACAGGGGATATGTGTATTTTGCGACGAACTTGAAACTCCGGATCACTATCTACGCCACAAGAATGCAAGACTTTTCATGATAGATGGTGATGAAGATCAACTCTCTTATGATAAAGAGTTGATCAAAAAGAAGGTTGAATCAGAATCCTTCTTGAACATTGATGTGATTGAAGAGATGCCGATGACTAAGCCTACAGTTTCGGAATCACAAGAGGAGACTGCATCAGATCAAGAGAATGAAGGGCGAGGGAACGGTGATTCTGTAGTTGCTCCCAATTGTAATTTGCTTGAGAAACCAATTCATGCAACAGAAATGGAGGAGTTTAAATCAGAGGTACCAAACTCTCTTCTGGAACCAAGCCGTAGGGTAGAGAAATTGCAATCTGCCTTGCTTACGAACAGTAGTTCACAGCCTCTATTCATTGATTCACATAATGATCATAAACTAGGTGTTTGGACTGCTCCAAAAGTAGACCAAATATACATTTTAGATGTAGATATGAGAGGGGAACTGATTCAAAAGGCAGTAGAAGGTGTTGAGGTTGATGCACACCAGTTGTCTGATCAAATGTTGCTGAGAGTTTGTTTTAAGATGAATCAAAGGAGGTATCAAAAGGACTGGACTTTCAAGTACAAGCTTAAGAAACAAAGCCAGCATTTCAGTGACAAGGTTTGTATAGAGAGGGAAGAGCTTCAGGTGGTTGTTGGTGACAATATCAATAATGGTTTTGGATGGGATAACTTTTGTGGTTTTCATGTAGAGTTAACAAGTGTTTGTGCTACTGGTGAGAATATGATGCTAGCTGAAAACGTTGGAGCCAAAAATATTGCAGAAGTTCTGAGCAGATGGACTGTGATTCGAGAGAAAAATCTGTTCCAACCTGAGAAGGAAAGGTTGACTGGTCTTGCTGTTATGTTTCAGAAAAGGACTGTGGGACAAGATCAAGTAGTACAGACAGTTTCTGAGGCGCTTTTGTGGTCAAGGGCAGGACTGGGTTATAGAAGGAATGAGTGCGGTTCAAACCAGGATGTGGTTAATTGGTTTCAGATTGTTCAAGGATGTGATGCTGATAGAACAACATACGTACAGTGCAGTGGCTCAAATGTATGGCATCGTTGGAAGAATAGGAGTGAAATAAGAGAACCTACTTCAGGTTCTATACATTGTCTGTTTCTGTTCAGTGGGTTACCATGGTTAAAAGATAATATCGCTGGGTATGAGGGTGCTCTGATCATATTGCAACAGGGCACAAGAGTGATATCTGAATTGCCAAAATACCATTTTCTGTAATTTCAGAAGAGTGACAATGATGGGGAGGTGGCTAATCACGATGACCAAGCCTCTGTTTTCAGTGTCTACAATGTGGAGACATTAGCAGTAAAAACATTTAAGACTAAAGAAGAAAGTCTACACTTCAGGTTTGAGGAAAGGGGTATGAGGAGAAGGAAAGGGAAGCAGCAAACTAAACAAGAGAAACTTCTAAAGTTTTGGAAGTTTAAGTTCAAAAGAAAATCAGAGGATAAAGATGACATTGTAATTGGTATTGGTGTTAGCTTCTTCGGTCTACTTCCTGTCTACAAGACTCTCAAAATAGTTCATGAAGCTGCTGAATGTGTCAAAAGACGTCAGCTGCAGATTCTGTCAAAAGACCTCAGCTGCGTTTACTTGAATATATTGATCATGGTGATGTTGCAGAAACACCTTCCTGTAAAGTGTTCTCCTATGAGGTTGCTCCTTTTTGTTCCTGCTCAAGACGTCACCAAAGACAAATATGGGGGCTCACATGTCTCATTCTGCCATATGGAACCGATACTAGTCTGTGGGTTATTTGTGATTTGTTTGCTATGGAATGATTGCCGCAAACAGTTCCATGAGTTTTCAACATAACCTTGTAGTCAAGGTTTTCAGAGGAAGGGAGATTTGATACAGGGAATATAATCATTAGAGCCACGTCAGCAGGACACGTCAGATGAGAGAGAGCAGCTTGAAACAGAGTATTAAACAGAGTTTACGTTTCATTTCATTCATTCAGAAAAATAGTGTTGAAAACTTCATCTTCTTTCTTTTAGGATTCTTTCAAGAATCTCTCTGTAATTGAATTTGGTTCAAAGTTGGGAAAGGTTCTTCTTAAATCGTAACCTTTTGTACTTGAGCTACCGTTTACATGTTTGTTTGAACATCTATTCGGATTTATCGATCATCATACAGTTTCTCTGTATTACGGTCCCTATCAGCACAACAAACACTAAGCTGGGACGAACCTGCTTGAAAGACAATACCCATGAAAAAATAAAGCAAAATATATCTTCCTCGAAACGCTTTACCGCTTCTGATCCTCTAGGTTGCTCCGAGGATCTGATCTTTTCCAACTACGACACCGTCTCATTCAAAACATATTTCTGGGCCCATTTACTTATAATTACGGCCCAAATGGTACCTTAAATACGAGTTAAATGGCCGCTGCATCAGCTTGATATTTATTTTCTCGAAACAAAAAGACTAGTCTTATTTGAAGATTATACGAGACATGCCACACCCACACGTGTCGTGAACCCAAATCGTAAGAACGCCACGTGAAACACTTTGCATGCACCTCTTTTGAACATCAAGATTCTCTTTTTAACGGATCATCAACTCTATTTCCCCTACTGGCATATCTCCACTTACGTCGAATACATAAATTTTCTAAAAAATGCCAGGGATCACACTAGGAGACACGGTGCCAAACCTAGAGGTAAAGACGACACACAAGAACTTCAAGCTTCATGACTACTTTTCCGATTCGTGGACTATCCTCTTCTCTCATCCCGGTATATATAAACGTTCTAATATCTGATTAATCCAGCGAAACCCGTTTTTGTTTCTTATACTGAAAAAACCATGGGAATCTCTAATTAACTTTACTTTCTTTACTGGCCAATGGATACATAGGAGATTTCACACCCGTATGCACGACGGAGCTTGGTGCCATGGGCAAATACGCTCACGAGTTCGAGCAGAGAGGTGTCAAGCTCCTTGGTTTGTCTTGTGATGATGTACAGTCCCACAAAGAGTGGATCAAGGATATTGAGGCCTTTACGGTATGATTTAAATCTCATGCATATATGATAAAATACAAAGTTGCTTACTCTTTGTTCTAAGGCATCAATTAGCTGCAGGTCATTTTGGTTTTAATTAATCTTAAGTAACACTTACTAGTGTTTTCTGGACATATATATATATATATATGATTAATTATAGCCTGGAAGCAAAGTGACGTACCCAATAATAGCTGATCCAAACAAAGAGATCATTCCTCAGCTTAATATGATTGATCCAATCGAGAACGGTCCATCTCGTGCCCTTCATATCGTTGGTCCTGATTGTAAGGTAAATATTTAACTACAATAGTTTAATGTTTCACATCGATCAAAAAAAAAAGTTTAATGTTTCATTATATTGCTACTACATGTGTATATGATGTATTTATGATTGTATTGGTTGGTTTGTGAATTTTCTTATATAGATAAAGTTGAGTTTCTTGTATCCTTCCACAACGGGACGTAACATGGATGAAGTGTTGAGGGCCTTAGACTCGTTGTTGATGGCGGCCAAGCATAAGAACAAAATAGCTACTCCGGTTAACTGGAAACCGGACGAGCCGGTTGTGATTTCACCAGCCGTTTCGGACGAAGAGGCTAACAAGATGTTTCCTCAGGGTTTCAAGACTGCCGACCTTCCCTCCAAGAAAGGCTACATACGTCTCACTGATGTTTCTTAAAAGACCAACAAGAAGGAAAAATAACTATATGTGAACAAAAGTATAGTTACGTTTTGTAACGTATGGTTTGCTTTTACTCTCGCCGAGGATATGGCCTAGGCTTATATCAATAAAAATACGTATGTGTTCAGGGGCGAAGCCACCTTGAAGACAAAGGGTGCACGTGCACCCACTGTCATTTATATATTTAACATTTTGCTTAATATATTAAGTGTGAAAGTAGCATATTTGGTTATGTTGCACCCATAATAGTTCAAGGTAGGGAGTTCAAGTACCCCATTTTACATGTATTAATTATTTTGCACCCAGTGATATAAAAGTCTGGCTTCGCCCCTGTATGTGTTTATAATAATATGAGTGAATTAGCTCAAAAACCATAAAGAAGTATGAAATTTAGAAAATACCTATAATACTAAACAAGAAGTATGAAATTTAGAAAATACCTATAATACTAAAACGTTGAGTTTTGGTGTAGTGTCAGAACATAAAAAAATTACATATGAAGCTCTCATGAAAACTTGCTCTCTTTTAGTGTTATAGACTCCTAGCTAGCATAAATAAAAATTTAAAATTGTTAAATATTAGTAATCAGAGAAAGAACAACTTTATCACGCTTGTGTAAACAAAGTAACAAGAGAATTGAGTTGTGGTGTGAAGAAAGAAGATACAAAATGATTCAACTTAATTATATTTCACACATCTCACGTCTATTTATAGTACATGAGATTGTCTTATACAAAGACACCTATTGCTATGATAAGGATACATATTAGTATGACTAAGCATGATGAATAAGAGACAAGTGTCCTATTGAATGACTAATCATTCCGTAACACTCTCCCTTGATTAGTCATATTTTATTACGTAATGCCTCGTTAAAACCTTAGTCATGGAAAAACCCGTTGGGCTAAAAACCATGAAAAAGGAAAAAGAGTACACTAACGTAATCTCTTTCTAAAAATAATGGACATATCTTTTTTTTCATAAGTCACGCAAATGCCGCATTCCGATACCGTAAACGTGTTTTCGAAATATTGTAGTCGGAAGGGCTTTTGTGAACAAATCTGCGGGATTGTCGCATGATCGTACATACTCGATGTCCACTTCTTTATTTTTCTCGAGCTGCCGTATGTACAAGAAAAATCTTGGAGGCATGTGCTTTGTTCTTTCGCTCTTGATATAGCCTTCTTTAAGTTGAGCAACACACGCCGAATTATCTTCGAACATTTTCGTCGATTCTTTTTTTATCAAATATTCCACTTGCTTCTTGTATATGGTAACTTATTGATCTAAGCCACACACATTCTCGACATGCTTCGTGAAGCGCAATGGTTTCTGCATAATTCGAAGATGTTGCAACCAGAGTTTGTTTCTGCGAACGCCAAGAGATCGCTGTCCCACCAATTGTAAAAACATATCCGGTTTACGAACGAGCCTTATGGGGATCTGATAAGTATCCTGCATCTGCAAAACCAACCATACCAAACTCGGGTTTTCTAAAATACATTAAACCTAGGTCAACCGTACCTTGAAGGTAACGGAATATGTGTTTGATTCCGTTCCAATGTCTATGAGTAGGAGCCGAACTATATCTTGCAAGAAGATTAGTGGCAAAGGCAATATCAGGTCTGGTACAATTCGCTAGATATAACAACCCACCGATAGCACTCATGTAAGGTACTTCTGGACCTAACATCTTTTCGC